CATGGAACAAATAAGCTTTTAACTCAATTTATGATGATGTTAATACTGAACGCTTACGTAACGGTAAAAGGCGACGAAAATGAGGTCAGAAATTATGCCTTCACATATTCACTGAAACGTGTCACTCTAAAACAGGCCTCCGGCTTCAGTAGTCTCAGTTTTGGGTATGTACGCAGCGTGTCCATGGAAACAATGCCGTTAGAGAATCATCTTCCAGCTTTCTTTCTTAAGGCTATGATTTCTCCTTTACATGAAAAAGTTAACTTCTAAGCTCATATTTAAAATTTCAACAATTTCCAACACGTTCTTATAACCCGAAAAATAATTTCATGTTCACTCAAGAGCCATAATGGGACTATTGTGGCTCTTGGTTCACTGAAATCAGATTACTTATCTTAAAATTAACTCGATGTCTCAAAGCAAAAGCAGACAATTTCACGTGGCTTTAACTCCGACTTCCGTTTCCTCTAGGTCGCGCAGAGAGCCGCACGCACTACTAAGTTTCTTTGAGTCTTTATTTGTTCTTTCATGGCGTATGCAGACCTTGCAGCGTTTCCAACATACTTGTAACTCCACCGATGAAGGGCCAGGCCCGAAACGTTTGGAGAGAAACTAAAACCACAAGACGGCAGGTTTGTTCATTAGATTTTGATGAACATTCCTTTACTTAATTTCAGTAAACCAACATGTGAAGATCGGTTGCACTTATCCGAGTAGAATTCACGAAGTTTTAACTCTATACAATGTTAGTTGTACTGCGAGCAGTGAAGAAATACATTTCATCAGTTATCCAGTGCGGATGCTATCGTTTTCCCATACAAGATTTGCCAAAAGTATTTGATAAGCGAAAACAAAGCTATCTTTTATCTCGCCATTTTAGGGAACTTGCAAACATAGTCACTCTAATATCACTTTATGACCTATATCACACTGAACAGAAACTTATCCAATTCCTTATTTTGTCAGTTGTGAAAAAAATTGATTTAAAATATAGCTAAATCGCTGCCAAGTCTGTGAGTCTTTGGCAGAATTTGCAAGACATTCTCATAACGAAGCAAAATAAAAAATCGAAAACAGAAATATTACAACAGTTAAATTCTAATCACTTTTTCAATATCGCTCTTTTGTTTTCAGTTTATCTGATCCAAAACCAGACTCAAAAAAAATTGGCGCAATTTATCTTAGTTTTCGATCTTTGCCTTTTTACTTATATGTGACAAGTGGCTTACACAAAAATGATGTCGCAAATTTACATCGTGTGACGATCGAGCGGCCTTTTTAATTTACTGTGAAAATATGACAATCTACTTGCTAAACTAAGAAGTTTTACTTTGTTGTCTGCGCATGTGCAATTAGACCTCGTAATTTCGGAACTCCTTTGAAAGAAAACTTGGATTGAAAGCGTTAATCGTGGCACACGTTGTAGGTAAAATATTGAAAAAAAGAATAATTAGTTAACACCTATATCTTTCCTGGACAAAACTCTGCCAATGATAATGATCAAAGAAATCCCCCCAAATTACACAAATTAGTAACAATTTCGCCCAGAATGGTCGGTCATCGTATTCAATTTGACATGTACGTTTGTTCTTCAGCGAATGAAACTTCGATTGACGGGGAAAACGTTTTTCTGCCTTTCTGACCGTCTTCAGTTTATTCTCAAATCACGAAGTCCTGTGTAATTGGGATACTACGCCAGCTTTCGTCTGAAGGTTAGGGCCAATTTTTTATATACATAATAAATATCTTTCCGTGTTGATTATATTTGACAATCCTATAATCTTTATCCGGCGGTTTGTGGTGCAGTCATACAGTTTCTGTAAAAGCTCAAAAGAGCTTTTTCTTCATTTCATTTTTCTTTATTTCTTGATGCTCTTGCAATTCATAGTTGTTTTGGCGTTAGATATATCAGTACAAGTCATAGGAACTAAAGCCATTTGGATATTTCCACATGGAAGTTCTTAAAACGGCCGCCTTAAAATAGAAATTGTTTTGGTCTTAGCTCATCTACATTTCGAAGTAATATGAAGTAAAATACCTAGCCTAGCGATTTTTTTTTCATGTCCTCCTAACCTTGTTTAAGTTAAGCTTGAAAAGTAGCATATGTAACTTAAGACCAAACCAAAACAATGCTTTTTTGACAAAAATTAATAGCTGGTCTTCATGAGGCCCAGAAATCACCTTGGTCAACTGAAGATATTTAAGATGGTTATAGAAGCTTGTAGACTGAGGTGCATTTACGTCATTGTTTCAGAGAACAGTTTCCTCAGTGAATGTATACACTTTCGTCCATCGACACTTACGATATATCATTCAGTTTGACTTCAATATTCATCTCTCATAATTAAAAAGCTGGTCAGTTGTTTGTAACTATAACTTTTAAAACATCCACATTATCTTTTTTAATCTGAACCAGTTGGTAAAGAAGGTCCTCTATTTGATTTTCGTGGATGTTAGCATTTTTCTAACGCCCTGTAACAAAACACGAAATTCTTTATCTTTCTTTGTCAAAACAGCTTTTTCACTTAAACACCAGTATGGAAACAGATTTTGCCTTCACAAAAGGATAAACTAAAGGAAGGGAGAAAAAATTTAAAACTCTCTGAGAGATGCCTTTTCCTGGCTGCGGGAAGGCACGGAATCTCTTACGCCAGTTGAATACCCTTGAAACAATGACCATAGACAGAACTTTGGCTCCAGTGTAAGGGTTTAATCCAAGACGTATAACCAACAATAGATGTAACCGAAGAAATTCATACAAAGCACTCGTACTTAACTCTAAGATAATAATGATGCGATACAGATTACATCATAACTTAACGAGTCAAAATTACCGAATACAAAAGTCATTTCTGAAAGACTATTGGTGTTGTCTTCATAATTGTGCTTCAAAGGGAAATATTGTTCATATGTCCTCTCACCCCCAAAATTAATTAAGCAATGGTTTCCTTAGTTCAACGAATATCATTCCAGTGTATAGATATGTGAAGAGACCTCAAACGAAGTACGGGCCAGGCGGTTTATTATTAAAAGCCACCTCGTGCTTCCTCTTTTTTTATCGCTGTGTCGAGTCAAAGTTTCTTTAATCTGTTGTAATTTCTGTCGAAAATTTCTGTAATCATATTGTATAGATAACATTTATTCCTCTTTGAAATCGATGTGAATAGTGGCTGAATACCAAATCAATCAGTACAGTCGTTTTTTCCGATACGTCTCCTCTGAATTTCTTCTATGTATTGATAAGTTTTAGGGAGTTTTTTCAGTTGTTCTTCTGATAAGAATTAAATGAATACAAATGGGAAACAATCGATAATAATCTCAAAAGTTGTTCATCGATTTGTCATCGCGGTTTTTTTAATTTCATCCGGCGATAATTAACTTGAAAAGACTCATATCTTTTCAGTTCATGTTAACTGTTTTATATCGGGTAAAACACATTTTCGATGGCCGTAGACATTGTTTAAAGCACAACTTTAGGGAAAAATGGCATTATTTATCTGCCAAGTGCGAAAAGAGCCTCAAATAATAACTCGAAAACCCTGCGCTATTATCGGTGTGTATTGGTGTTAATTTTCTTCATTTTACCAAACAAACGTTAATCTACGGCCTATAGGGATTTTAACCTCATTGTAAGGTTAATCCGTGAAGGCTTCATGGAACAAATAAGCTTTTAACTCAATTTATGATGATGTTAATACTGAACGCTTACGTAACGGTAAAAGGCGACGAAAATGAGGTCAGAAATTAGAGCAAAAGTAAGGACTTAGCACAAGGTTAGTAGGCTTTTTTGGAATTTACAAAAACCTTTTCATTACTAGAGTTAATGATCAAGATATGTAAGGCTGTTTTTACCCTCGATTCTGTGGACAGAATCATATCGTGTGATCACTGACCATTCAGCAATTTCGACCTTAATTCTTGATTACAAGCACTCTGAGAAGTAATGAAACTGTTTAATAACAAGGGCTTATGTGAGTTCACATAAGCTATTTTTCTAGTACATGCTTGTTCATTACATTCTCGGATAATCTGTAATCCTTGAGTTGTTTGAATATCGTATCGTTTCTGTAAATTGTTGTTATTTTCATAAACTTGAGAAGCCACCCGGGGGGGCTTAACATATGTTGTTTGGGGAGGCTATGCCGTAAGGTTCAACCGTTCACCCTTTTATATACCATTTTTGACGAAAAGGTACCCCTTTCATACACTTTCTATTGAAAATGGTACCCCTTTCCCATACCTTGTTTAGAACTTTGCATCCCCTTCAACTGCTGTAAATTCACTGCCTTTTAAACAGGAATCAATCACAAAAATAGAACGCTTTCTCGGCTTTGTAAAGCCGTAAAATTCAACTGTTAGCCCTGTTTCAGAGACGCAAATGACAGTTTTCCCCACCATTTTTATATACTTCAGCTAGAGAAATCCATCCTCTTTCATTGACTTGAAGCCTGAAAAAGTTACCCTTTCGGGAGGAGCCTCCCCGTATAGGCCCTCATATGGACTGAGTACCCCCCCTCTCCCGGGGGAAAGCCATAGCTACTAATTGAACCCATCACTAGAGCAATTAGTGAAGTGCTGTTCTGTGTACAATGACTTACTATTGACATCAAATGAGTGTTAAAACTCTACACGAGTACATACGGGTAACACACGGACGCATACGAGTACATACGAATACACTCGACTGAGAAGCATACGGGTAACATGAGAGTAAAACACGGATCCCGAAGATCGTACGAGAAAAACAGGGGATAATGAAGACCGGCATAACATACAGAAAGGAACCAATCCAGATTGAAATTGAAGAGCCATTAATAATGATCAGAATGAAAAGTCTGCTCTTTGATAAGATTTTCTTACTTTTAATATTATTCAGTCTTTTCTGTTACATTTTAATGTCCACAGGAAACGGACAGAAGCAAAGAAAACAACAAAGGTTTCTCCCTTCATAACACAAGAATCTGTTGCTATTCTGTGAAGTTCACCAAAAAATCAAGAAAATGAATAACTTAACAGAGAATTTCACACGGCAAAACTTCTCAGCTGAAGAAACTTTAGAGGATCTTACGCTTGATACAGAGACTAAAGTTATTTTCACATTCCTGGGTATTACAGCTCTTTTAATAACGGTAGCGAACAGCCTGGTGCTTGTCTTAGCGTGGAATATGAAATTTTTGCGTACAAAAACCAACTTATTTCTTCTGAGTTTGGCGGCAAGCGACCTACTGTCTGGAATCTTAGTTATTCCCCTGGTTATTGCATGTAATTTGGTGTACGATTCTAATTCTGAACAGATCTGTATAGCTATGGATATTTGTCAACGTGGACTGGCAATCTCAACTATTTTACATCTGGCGTGTGCAGTCATTGAGAGGTATCTGAAAATTTCCGCGCCTTTTAAGTACGTATCTTTAGTTACAAGACCAAGAATTCTTAAAGTGCTATTTTCTGTTTGGATATCCGCCATATCTATATCCCTTGTGCAGTTGGTTTGGTTTGCTCCGAAAGAACAGGAGAGTGCAAACTCTCAATATCTTATATACAACGTGATGGTTCTCTGCCTTTTTGTGTTTGTTCCGTTTAAAGTAACCCTAGTGGCGTTTATTCGGATATTTATCATAATGAAAAACAGCCAAGAGTGCCGTAAGAAAATGATATACAGAACGCCTTCAAGTGTACAAAAGAGAACACGAAGTGTTAACGGAAAACGTTCCCTACTCATTTACCTCACAATGCTTATCTGCTTTGTTCTCGCGTGGTTTCCATATTTTTTCTTGACAATGTTTATAGACATGAACTCTTCCATTGTCGAAGGTATACCAGCTTGGATAAATGTGATGTTCTTGTTTCTCAAAACCAGCTCCGCACTGTTCAACCCGCTGCTATTTACATATTTCAAGGCAGATTTCCAGAAAGCTCTCCGGAACATCTCTAATGGCTCATGGAAGAACGCTTCTGTTACATCTGCCAACATCGCGATTATGAGGAAACGAACCATGTCAAATACATTAACAACACAAGCGGGGAAAGATACAGAGCAAAAAAGCAAGAGACCATGATTGGACAGAGAGGATGTCTCCCAGTCTTGCCTTTGGGCAAACAAAGTTATTTTTAGAAACTATGCGAACAATGCGAAAACAATTTCTGGTAAACTGATTCACTACTGCAAGACTCGCTTTCATGTTTCAGTGCATTAAAGCGAGTCCGATTATGATCTCTCGAAAGAAGCCATAATTTTGTAAACAACAAGAAGGTTCAGACGAAGAATGCTGCAATGAGGCAGAACTCAAGGCCAACTTAGTAACCGGTGCCATTTGAACTCGAGAGCACCAAGCGAAACCTGTCCATAAACATTTTCCCCCGTTTTTTGCAAAGAATTTGGGGTGCACACGCCAAGCAGGAGAGAAAGAAAAAGGAAACTCTATTTTCTCTTTTAGCCCCTCACACCCGCTTGCGCACGCAAACGGTCGATAAAGCGATAAATCCCCCGCGGTTTTTATTTAATCTATAGGCGTGCTCGACAATCTATTAAGAGAAATACTATTGATCTTCGAAATCTACCCAGAAGTTGATATTCGCACACAGTTGTTGTTTTGCTCAGTAACCTATTGCTGTTAAGAACTTTCATGTTTTATAATAGTAGGGTTGCTTTAGTCTCCATAATCTTTGCTCTCCTGTTGCGCGTGGCAGCTAAGTGAACGTTTCGGGTACGTCCAGATGAGCAATGCAAGCATCCAGTTAGAAGTCAGAGTTTATTACATCTTCAGATTATTGGCTGAGATTTCTTATATACCTGAAACTCTTATCCATAGATGAAGTTTTTTTGTGCAAGAGCTTTTTGAAAACACTGACAACATCTGACCAACATATGAGAGACAATAATGTATCTGTGAAAAACCTTTCACCTTGTTTTCAAGAACTGTCTTATGCAATATATCTCGATAACACCGACCAAAGTTATTTGCATCAACGTTTCAACGGTAGATATAAACTTTCGAAATCAAGGGTATCGGTTAGACTGGTCTGGTAATTGGGTTACCTGTGCAACAAAAATTACAGTTCGGAAAACCTTTGAACCAGAAAAATATTGACAAATCTTCTCTAGTCAAACAAGCTGTTACTATCAGGAAATATACCTATTGGCCTGTGCAATTGACTTAAAGTTTCTGCCCTATTGACAGCTGCAGTGATATTTAACATGTAAGAGGAAGTTAAGACTTCGGGGAAGCTTTTTATTTAGGCAACAAATCGTCGATGGACTCTCCTTTCATAAGTCGTTTTTCCATTTCAACAAGCAACTTCACACCGTCCACAACTTTTTGAACAAGTTCGACTTCAGAGAACCCCAAACGGTCAAGATTTGACACATCAAACGTTCCATCAGTAGACGCCGTATCCACGCCTCCCGTGCCACGCTTTTGAAGTCGTAATGCTTTTAACACGTCATCAAACCGGGCATCTTTGGCTAATAAAGGCAATTTCACGTGCACACCCGCGCGTAGTCCCGTCCCGAGGTTGGAGGGGCAGGTGAGGATAAACCCAAGATGTTCGTTCCACATGAATTCTTTCCCCTCCTTCTTCATGGCGTCTTCGATTTGCTGGAGGCTCTGACAAAAGCGAGTGAATACCTCTTTCATATTACCCCCTTTCTGCATGGAGATAACTCGCGTGTGATCTTCCTCGTTCACCCAGACAAGCACAGTCTTTTCCGAGTTATGCCAGATCCCGCGGGCATCGGGCCAGTCCCGTGCCATCCCGGCTGACAGCAACAGTGGCGAAACAGGTTTATCAAACAGGAAATGGTCGTCAATTAGCTGATCTTGTTCCTGTGCAGTCATCTTGTTCAAGGGGTAATATTTCCCCTGCAAATTCCCAGTCAGCGTGTCCAAAGCTTCCACCACAACTTTCTCGACTTCCCGGCGTTCAGCGCGAGTGCAATACGGTGGCAGTGCTAGTCCCCGGATGCTTCGCCCAGTCCTTACGCGGCTAGAGAGCACAAAATCGGGGTCCAGGTCGTCTCCGCCGACGAGGTTTTCTGGATTCAAATCAGTCTTATGACATGCGTCTTTACCGTAACCATTATGGCGCGCCTCGATAACTGGATCCAACAGGTCAGCAAACACATCATACGATTCCTAAGATATAAGAGAAAAGTTCATTTTAGTGCGGAATTTATTCATGAATGTGAGTTCTTATCTAAGTAACGGCCTCTATCGTTTTGGTCTCGCACTCTTTGAGCTCCTGCTCATTGTGCTATACGAGGAGGAATCTGTGGAGGAATATAGTGTGACCATTCAAATGAAAGCTACTGAGCAGTACTTTCCTGTGGTACTGTTTATTATGCTGTACAAGGTGATTCTAACTTTTGAGTCTGTGAATGAAATCCTAAAGTGTGACCATTCAAATCAAAGCTACTGAGCAGTACTTCCCTGTGGTACTGTTTATTATGCTGCACAAGGAAATTCTCATTTAAATTCGTTGGTGAATTATTTAAGTGTGACTTGTCAAGTGAAAGCTACTGAGAGGTGCTTTTCTATGGTGCTGTTTACTAGAAGGTGGGTCTAACTTTCGAGTCTGCGTTACCTCATCACCAGCCACACAGCCAACTGTCATAATAAAGGGGTGTCCTGGGTTGTCCACTCCAGTTTGAATGACTTTATCTAAAGTGTACCCTGATGGTGTCTTGCGCGAGCTCAGTCTGTCGTAAATCTCTTTGGTAAGGCACCTAGACATCCAGCTATTGTGCTGAGAAAGATCAGGAAAGTTACTCTCGGGTTCCCCAGTTATATCTTCAGTTCCCTTTTCCGCAGGCTCGGCAATCTCACGCGCGGAGGTCCCGGACACTAACTTCTGATAAAGCTCTGTGATTGGTTTTCCCGCTTCGAGGCATTTCTCCATTGCAATCAACAGCTTAACACCGTCCACCACTCTTTGAAGCTGCTCCACTTCAGATGACCCTAGTCTGTCTGAGTTGGAAATGTCATAGGTACCCCCAACAGCCTCAGTATCTACTCCGCCTACACCTCGTTTCTGAAGACGGAGTATCTCCAGAATGTGAGAAAACTCTTTCTGTTGGCTGACTAAGGGGATTTTCAGATGAACCCCGCCTCTAAGACCTGAGATATAAATTGCAGAAACTAGGTGAACCTTAGCGAAAATGACAAACTAACTACTATGATTTGACCTTCTAAAAATTCAGGTTACTAGTAGGTGGAACATGATCGTCCTGGTGAGTGTATAGTCCTGAAGGACTGTTGTTGACAGTGACTAACGTTTAGACAACCCGGCCTGTGCGATAGTTATCTTCAGAGTCAAACTGAGATCTGTATCTTCAGGACCGTCAGTTGATGGTAATTAACTCCACGAATTCGTAATGTTGTTGGCCTTCAGTCTGTTGAGCCGTGATGCTATAGTCTGCAAAGATTAAATACTCAACTAGACCACGAGCAGTCTCTCTTTTTTCTTAGTCCGTCGACCGAAACGCGCGAGACAAGAACATGACCACGGGCGTGACTGAAAGCGGGAGAGGCTCTTTTTTATTCTTGCGGGCTGTCGCTCTCGTTTCTCGTGTCTCGCGGTGGCGCACCTGCACTCCCCTCACTAAATCTGACGAAAAAGAGAGACTGATCGTAGTCTAATACTCATCTTTCCTGGTAACATCTGCACGTTGGTTCACTTATGAGTCTAATATGTCTTTTTGAAAAGCGGTTAGCTAGAATGGAAGAAGATACAAATTTAATTTTTACCTGTTCCAAGGTTGGACGGACACGTCAGGATGTATCCCAAGTGTTCATTCCACATGAAGCCATACCCCTTTGCTTTGATGGCAGCTTCAACTTTGTTGAGTCCCGTGCAGAACCGCTCAAACACGGCCTTCATATTCCCGCCTTTTTCCATTGAGATCACTCGAGTGTGATCCTCTTCGTTCACCCACACAAGAAAGTTCTTCTTGTCATTATGCCAGATCCCGCGGGCATCGGGCCAATCCCGCGCCATACGGGCCGCTAACAGAAGCGGGGAGACGGGCTTGTCGAATAGAAAATGATCTTCAATAAGTTGTTCTTGTTCGTTCTCGCTCATTTTCGCCAGCGGGTAATACTTGCCTTTAAACTCGCCATCTAGAGAGTCTAAGGCCTCAGTGACAAGGAATTCAACTTTTCGGCGTTCAGCGCGCGAGCAAAACGGTGGCAAGCTCAAGTTTTTAATACTTCGTCCCGTGCGCACGCGCGAAGATAACACGTACTTCTCGTCTAGTTCCCCGCCAATCAGATTCGCAGGATTTAAATCAGTTTTATGACGATCAGTTTTCTTGTAGCCAGCATGGCGGGCCTCGATTACTAGATCAAAAAAGTCCGCAAAAACCGAATACGATTCCTCATCTCCTGCCACGCACCCTACTGTCATGATAAAAGGGTGCCCTGGATTATCCACCCCAGTCTGTATGGCCATGTCGAGTGTATATCCATTAGGCGTCTCCTTATCGCAAAGTTTGTGGTAAATCTCCGGTGTCAGACACTTTGCCATCCAGTTATTATGCTGTGACAAGTCGGGGAAGTTACTTAAGGCAACCGGGGCACTAAATTGTAAGAAAAAACGAAGCTAGATTGAGTGAATTAATTAAATAAATCATTTTAAAGCAGGGTCATAAGGTTATTATTCCTTCTCCGTGCGCGTTACAAAGGCTATCTAATTCCATCCAACAACTACCACAAAGCTAGAAATTGTCGGTTAAAGGGGTGTTCTGAGAACTCTGCCTATCAAGTAAAACCTTTTACAAGTGATTGGGCTTCGCGCATGTGTAAAGTGCTTGTCATAATTGAAGTGGAGATGGGTTAAATCTTGGCAGGCAAATTTTGCTACTTGTAAGTTTCCTAAATCTACCAAAAGTCACAATTCTGAACTTCCTGAAAATAAAGCCTACCCAGCAAACAGAGGTATCTCTCTTGCATGGCTTTTAAGGTTTGCGTTGCTTGTCACGAACGACTGAGTTCGTAAGCGCTAAAAGCCATGCAAGATAGAAACCTCTGCTCGCCGGGTAAATAAAGACGGAATAATCTTTTTTTGTTTCTTAGCCTGTTCCAGGCGTTCAGATAATGTAGCGCGGCCGAAAAAAAGTAAAAAAATGAAAAAAGAAAAATGATCGCACAAAAAATTGAACCAGTTTGGCGCCCATATTTAAACCGCATAAACAAACTAAGCGAATGCAAGAGCTAAATCTTTACCTTTGTTTTGTTTGAACAGCTACCGTCTTTGCTGACTTCGCCACATTTTTTGAATCCTTCTCCTTCGAGCTTGCCGCGGTGACAATTTCCTCCTGAGAGGGAGGGGCTGGATAAAAATGTACATGAGTTGCGTTGATTGTCTTCAAAAGCTTCCAAGTTTAATTTACATCATTTACTTAAAATACGGGAGCGTAGAAATGAGTGTAAGAAAGACACTCTTAGTTTTGTTTCTCCTTCTAAATAGTTGATAAGGTAGCATGATTTTTTTTCATTGAATTTGTTGGGTTGTGATTTTAGTTTTTTTCTTGTCTTAAAGAAGGTTATAACTAAAAAAGAAAACCGTTTTCGAAAGCCGAAGATTCGTCCAGGAGACAAGCAGAATTTCTCTCTTGGTTGCCAATCTTTCCCGCTCTCCACCAATTGATATATAAGCCACACACAACCCACAACCCCTTGATTTGCTCAAAAGAAAAGCTAGAGCCTCAAACATCAGCTTTTCAATCTTATTTTACGGAAGTGAATTGTTTTAGTTTGTCAAAAGTTGATGAGCCATTTCTCTGTTTTTCACTCGCTCGCCGACCCATGGCCACAGTTTCTTGTGAAATCAACCCCTCAATTCATTATTTAATTTTTCCAGTAGACAACATGGTTCCCAGTTGAAATTTACGACTCTACGGTTATCTAGTTAGTAAGAGCAACGCGGTTTGATTTTAATACTAGGAGGGGTAATGTCACGTGACTCACCTATCTGAGCAGCAATTCTCGATGCTCCACAGCCCATCTCAGCCTTTAGTCACTTCAGTGACTGCTCGAATACCCTTTACTTTTGTGATTTTTTCTTAATATCTACTTATTGAGTCTTCGTATGGTTTACTAACTGCGCGTGCGACTCTAAGCCGCCTAATGATACAGATTTTTGTGTCATAAAAGACATAATTTAAATTTTTAATTAATTCTTAATTATTCTCATTAATGTTTCTGTTCGGATATTCATCTCAGGATGTAGCTCTTTTAACTTTTAGATCATGCGTAAACTATTAAAAAAAAACATACTCAAATCTGAGCTGAGTTTAAGAGTTTAAGAGTGAGTTACGCTGGAGCTACCGTTTACTAATTTTTTCCTTCTAAATTCTTACTACTCGTTCAAAGCACATTATCTTTGACAAAAAAGAAATTATTAATTTCAGGGGATATTAACAAAAAAGTATTAAACTGAACCCTAACTCAACCCCAATTCAACTCAATCCCGTAACTCGACGATCAATATTATTCTCTTTGTCTCACTTAATAAAATCAATTCCCATTCTGAATCCAATAGAATCTTGAATAATGATCATCATTCAAATAAGTATACCGTATTTTCAAAGTAGTCATAGTAAAAAGAAGCCTGTGTACAGCCGCCCCTCCCCCCCCCCACACCCTCTACGCTAAAAAATCTCTCTCCCCGATTTTGTTTGTGTGGGGAGGGGGAGGGTGGGGGCTGGCTGTATGTAAAACCTGCAACAGACCTAGGACAGACCGGAAGCTTTAGAACACCCCACTCCCGAAACAGATCGAGAATGAAAAAAACAGAGAATGACATGACTCTCCCAGGTTTTACAAACGCCTTGGAACAATATTAAATTTAGGCAACGCCCCTATGTATCGTCACGCAACTTCCCCACAAATGGAGCGTTGCGTGATGAAATGAAGAACCGAGAGGGACTTGGGCTGAGGTTTGTCCAATCCAAGATGGCGTCCTTTCGAACAGTTCCAGAGAGACTTTTGAGGCCTGCTGCACGATCAGTTTCTGCAGGAGGACGAGGGTTTCTTTCTCCTAGGACGTCTCTAGGTAAACCAAGAATGTATCGGGCTGCGCTTTGCAAGGAACTCGGCAAACCGCTTGTAGTTCAAGAGGTCCCTGCCACCGAGAACTTGAAGTCAACGCAGGTTTGCTTTTAAAAATAACTTTTGAATACATTAGAGACGATAAAAAAATTGAAAATTTTTAGGTGGGTTACTTGGTATCCCCGGCTTCTGTGGAAAAAAGTTACCTCTGATTTAAAATACCTTAATCTCTTCAATATACCGTAAAATTCCGAAAATAAGCCCCCCCAAAGTCGTAACGCAAAAAATCCTCCGTTAAATCGCCCCTCCGAATATAAGCCCCCCCGGGGGCTTGTACTTGGAATTTGCCCTCGAATACAAAGTAAAACAAAGCAAAAAGGGTAAATTTCCTTCCCACTACAAGCTAGCCCAATCGATTTTGAAAGGCAAATTTCGCTCCGTACATAAGCCCCTCCGACTATAAGCCCCTCCGAAAAAAAGCCCCTCAAAAAGGGCCTTTGAAAAATATAATTCCCGGGACTTATTCAGGGGCGGATCCAGGATTTTTTTTAGGAGGGGGTGCACCCGTCTCTTGCTCTACTTCAACACCAATAAACCACATTTTTTTTTTGGCAGAATACCAGTTGTATTAGAAAACCGCAGGTCATATCAGGGGGGGGGGGGTGTGCACCCCCTGCACCCTCCCCCTAGATCCACCCCTGTTATTTCCGGAATTTTACGGCATATGAAGTAAGCCCTTCTCTCAAACAAACGCTTCAAAAAAGTCTGACTTTTCTCTAATTAGCCCCCCTCCCCCCAAATGTCATGTCTTAAACTATTACGCTAACAATCACTTTATGTGAAAAATACTTTGAAAACAACTGTAGTAAGTGTGAGATAAAGCCTGGTTCTCATTGTATGCCGCAACCCTACTTACAACATAGCCATTGGTAACCAGCCATGATACAGAACATAAGCCACTGGCATCAAAAAAACATGGCAGGTCTTGTCCCCTGGCCTGCCTGCAAAGTTGAAGTTAACTCAACTTGGCAGGCATGCCAGCAGTAGGGGCTGAGATGGCCTCTCCTGTTACTCCTGTTTTCATCCCATTATTTTAAAGAGTACCAGCGGTTATATTACAGGTAGGTTGGGGGTGGCATTTGTAACTGAAAACCAGGCTTTAGGGAAAGATAAAGTGAGTTTGGAAAACCATAGACTGAGCTGGGGCAGATCCAGAAAATTCAGAAAGAGGGGGTGGGACTAACTTTCTAGCTAGACAGTTACTGTTTATATAAACATAACCCATTTGCTCTTTGTTGAGAAGTTTTCTAGTCATTGTCTGGCTATGAAAAGTTAAAACTTACCACAAAGCTGTTTTCAGGTCTTACACTTGGGGGCCTTCTAATCCAGATGCAAATTATTAGCTCACTTGTTAGAGAGATTACTTAGTTTTGATTCTAGAAGCCCTCATCACCCCATCCCTTCCTCTCCCAAATGTTATTTTAAAGAAAAGAAGAAGTGTAAAATTTCATTTCCTTGTCAAAGTAATTGCCGAAGTAGATTTTGGAAAAAGTAGCTAAATGATTTTTGTCTTATAAACCTTTTTCTTTTGTTAAAATATCACCAGGTCAGAGTTGCAATTCACAGCTGTGGTATAAACTTTGCAGATATACTCATGTGTCTGGGAAAATACCAAGAGAAACCACCACTACCATTCATTCCAGGTGATAAGCTGACGTCTCTTGTATTTTTTGATTTGAGCTTCTTTGAAGGAAACTGAATGTCGGTGACCTTCATCTCCCTACCAGGATTCTCTGACATGTATGTCTTGTTAGATGGGATGTGGAGGAGAGAACATCTGTCTGGGGTTCAGGCCTCGCCTGTGTGGTTGTTTCCTTAGACAAAATACTCCTAGGTATGCTTCATACTAAGGAAACCTGGATAAGCTTTGGCCATTTGGGCCTTTGGCTCATGTGTGCCTTTACATTTTTACCTGGGTGTAGGGTGCAGGTTGTTGGTTTTCCTTGGGGATAGCCTGCAAGCAAGCTTTCTGGGGTGCTCTGGTGGTTGGGTGGGAAAAGGAAGGAGATCTTCCAACTAGGTCTCTGGAATTTGAATTCCACCTCCAATTCCCCTGTGGCTCCCTGTTGACTGAGCTGTCAATTTTCCGCCAATCTGCGTGAAGCAGAAATGAGCGCAACACTGCTCTACAATTGTTTCTTGAAACCTCCATTCACAACACAATTTTTTACCCCTTTTTCTCTTGGCTGAATTGTATTTTTTGGTTTAGCAATAATCCTTTCAGTTCCATCCACATATCATTTTCCCTTTAGTGATCATTTTATTAATTCTCATAACTTTTCCTCTCGATTGTGTATTGATATTGTTCGGAGAAAATTGATGTTGATCACTCTTGGGACCTGAAAGGTTGAATAACACAGCTTGCTTTTTATGGTGCAGGTTCCGAAATTGCTGGTGAGGTGATTGAAACTGGAGATAAAGTAAAAATGCTTTCGAAGGTAATTGCTTTTTGACTTCTTATGAAAAGATCTGCAGACGGACGGACAGACAAACTCTTAGTTGCTAGACCTTAAAAAAAGAGATAAAGTAAGAGGTTGGCAGAATGGAGATAGGAAAGAAATACTCTTTACCCCTCACCCCCACCCATCAGCTTGCATATTCTCCACGCACCTATTCTCTATACATTTCCCTTGGCAATGATGAGGAGAGCTTGTTTAGCAAACATACTTGGTGATCATTCTTTTTTTTACTGGACTTCTATTCCCACAACTGTTTGTTAGATTTAGCAGTGATGTTCTAAGGGGAAATAAAAGTGATGGGGATGCTCGTCGGAAACTTAAAGGGAGACCAATGTGGGTGTGGCTCAAGCTTTAATTGACCCCTAAAGAGGACCATGCTAAAACAGACATCTAAATAAGAGTTAGCGATCTAAATAATATGGCAATGATGTTGTGATCTTTTTTAAAAGTTAGATTTCTGTGAAGTCAGTGTCATGGCATTTTGTGTAAATTTCTTTATGCACAGCCCTTATAAGCGATACCTGAATGGGCAAATTTAATGACTTTCCATCCCAAAGACCCTAAGTGAGACCAAAATCTGCAATTTACACCGCTCAGTGAGACAACGAGCATCCCTGTCACTTTTATATGGGAGTCCCCACCCCGGGGTAAATAAGTTACTGTCCTTTCTTAGAGGTTAAAGGGTTGAATGTACCCCTTCTCCTTGAGCTTGAAATTGCTTCTGCTAGATCCTCGTACTCCTCCTCTGCTCCTTATCCCTTCAGTCATGTAGGTATCATAATGCTGTTACATAGTTTTGGGAGAATTCTCATGATTTTTCTTCTTTAAGTACTAGAAAAAAATACTGGTATTTGATGAATTTCAACATTGTGGAACTGTATTACCATAACCATTCCGTCTATTAAAATGATTTTTCTTTTACTTGTCCTTTTTCTATCTTACTACTATGTATGATTATATATAATTATTTATTGAATATATATCTTTTTTTTAGGGTGACAGAGTGCTTGGAGTAACATTACTTGGTGGGTTTGCTGAGGAGTGTGTTGTGGAGCAAAGTGTAAGAAATCTTCCTTTATGACTTTTGTAACAGTTCATAACACTACTGTAGTGCATGTTATAAATTAGCTTGATTCTCAAATGCTCCAGGTCACTCACAGCCATGTACTGTCTCCCAGGCTAGTAACAATTAAGTTTTATTGTTTTTGCAAGTTGTTAATCAGGTGTAGCCAGGAGGATTCATTAAATTGTATATTCCAAATGTTTATATGGGGAGGCTCCGCCCTAAGGTCCAACCCTACCCATTTATATACCATTTTTCACGAAAAAGGTACCCCTTTTGTGTACCTTCTATTGACAAATGGTACCCCTGTCCCACACCTTGTTTAGAACTTTGCATCCCTTTTAACTGCTGTAAATGCACTGTCTTTGAAATAGGAATCAATCACAAAAATAGAACATTTTCTTGACTTTAAAAAGCCATAAAATTCATCTGTTAGCCCTATTGGGCCCTGTCATGGACTCAAATGACAGGTTTCCCTAGCGTCTTATGTACTTCAACCAGTGAAATTCCTACCCTTTCATATACCTGAAGCCTGAAAAAGGTACCCCTTTCTGGCACAGACTCCCCATATAGGCCATTATAGGGACTCTTAGACCATGTTATGGAGAGGCACTTAGTCATTCTATGGATGCAGTCCAATATGGTGTTACCATTCAAATAAAACCTCTGTGGCAAAACTTTTACCTGGTACAGTTGAACCTCCACTAACAGCGACTTCTCCTCAACAACCACCTCTCTGCAACATCCACTTTTTTGTCCTGGGAGACAGCCCATACCTTGGCTATTTTTATCAAACATCTCTACAACAGTGACGGTAACTAAAAAGTGTGTCCCCAACTGCCAAAACAACTTCTCGACAATAGCCATTTTTTTTCAGTGACTGACTAAACAGTCAAGAGTGGTCATAAAAATTTGATATGCATGGCACATCAATGTTTTATCCCAGCAACTCTTTCACTGTAAATACAGAATTTTTTTATTAGAGCGGTTTTCACTTGACTGTCGTAAAACCAAAACCAAAGTAAATACACTAGCCAACCAAAGGGCGTAGTAAAACCAAAACCAAAACCAAAACCAATCCCTTTCGACAGTCAAGTGAAAACCGCTCAATCCAAGATGGCGTCCTTTCGAACAGTTCCAGAGAGACTTTTGAGGCCTGCTGCACGATCAGTTTCTGCAGGAGGACGAGGGTTTCTTTCTCCTAGGACGTCTCTAGGTAAACCAAGAATGTATCGGGCTGCGCTTTGCAAGGAACTCGGCAAACCGCTTGTAGTTCAAGAGGTCCCTGCCACCGAGAACTTGAAGTCAACGCAGGTTTGCTTTTAAAAATAACTTTTGAATACATTAGAGACGATAAAAAAATTGAAAATTTTTAGGTGGGTTACTTGGTATCCCCGGCTTCTGTGGAAAAAAGTTACCTCTGATTTAAAATACCTTAATCTCTTCAATATACCGTAAAATTCCGAAAATAAGCCCCCCCAAAGTCGTAACGCAAAAAATCCTCCGTTAAATCGCCCCTCCGAATATAAGCCCCCCCGGGGGCTTGTACTTGGAATTTGCCCTCGAATACAAAGTAAAACAAAGCAAAAAGGGTAAATTTCCTTCCCACTACAAGCTAGCCCAATCGATTTTGAAAGGCAAATTTCGCTCCGTACATAAGCCCCTCCGACTATAAGCCCCTCCGAAAAAAAGCCCCTCAAAAAGGGCCTTTGAAAAATATAATTCCCGGGACTTATTCAGGGGCGGATCCAGGATTTTTTTTAGGAGGGGGTGCACCCGTCTCTTGCTCTACTTCAACACCAATAAACCACATTTTTTTTTTGGCAGAATACCAGTTGTATTAGAAAACCGCAGGTCATATCAGGGGGGGGGGGGTGTGCACCCCCTGCACCCTCCCCCTAGATCCACCCCTGTTATTTCCGGAATTTTACGGCATATGAAGTAAGCCCTTCTCTCAAACAAACGCTTCAAAAAAGTCTGACTTTTCTCTAATTAGCCCCCCTCCCCCCAAATGTCATGTCTTAAACTATTACGCTAACAATCACTTTATGTGAAAAATACTTTGAAAACAACTGTAGTAAGTGTGAGATAAAGCCTGGTTCTCATTGTATGCCGCAACCCTACTTACAACATAGCCATTGGTAACCAGCCATGATACAGAACATAAGCCACTGGCATCAAAAAAACATGGCAGGTCTTGTCCCCTGGCCTGCCTGCAAAGTTGAAGTTAACTCAACTTGGCAGGCATGCCAGCAGTAGGGGCTGAGATGGCCTCTCCTGTTACTCCTGTTTTCATCCCATTATTTTAAAGAGTACCAGCGGTTATATTACAGGTAGGTTGGGGGTGGCATTTGTAACTGAAAACCAGGCTTTAGGGAAAGATAAAGTGAGTTTGGAAAACCATAGACTGAGCTGGGGCAGATCCAGAAAATTCAGAAAGAGGGGGTGGGACTAACTTTCTAGCTAGACAGTTACTGTTTATATAAACATAACCCATTTGCTCTTTGTTGAGAAGTTTTCTAGTCATTGTCTGGCTATGAAAAGTTAAAACTTACCACAAAGCTGTTTTCAGGTCTTACACTTGGGGGCCTTCTAATCCAGATGCAAATTATTAGCTCACTTGTTAGAGAGATTACTTAGTTTTGATTCTAGAAGCCCTCATCACCCCATCCCTTCCTCTCCCAAATGTTATTTTAAAGAAAAGAAGAAGTGTAAAATTTCATTTCCTTGTCAAAGTAATTGCCGAAGTAGATTTTGGAAAAAGTAGCTAAATGATTTTTGTCTTATAAACCTTTTTCTTTTGTTAAAATATCACCAGGTCAGAGTTGCAATTCACAGCTGTGGTATAAACTTTGCAGATATACTCATGTGTCTGGGAAAATACCAAGAGAAACCACCACTACCATTCATTCCAGGTGATAAGCTGACGTCTCTTGTATTTTTTGATTTGAGCTTCTTTGAAGGAAACTGAATGTCGGTGACCTTCATCTCCCTACCAGGATTCTCTGACATGTATGTCTTGTTAGATGGGATGTGGAGGAGAGAACATCTGTCTGGGGTTCAGGCCTCGCCTGTGTGGTTGTTTCCTTAGACAAAATACTCCTAGGTATGCTTCATACTAAGGAAACCTGGATAAGCTTTGGCCATTTGGGCCTTTGGCTCATGTGTGCCTTTACATTTTTACCTGGGTGTAGGGTGCAGGTTGTTGGTTTTCCTTGGGGATAGCCTGCAAGCAAGCTTTCTGGGGTGCTCTGGTGGTTGGGTGGGAAAAGGAAGGAGATCTTCCAACTAGGTCTCTGGAATTTGAATTCCACCTCCAATTCCCCTGTGGCTCCCTGTTGACTGAGCTGTCAATTTTCCGCCAATCTGCGTGAAGCAGAAATGAGCGCAACACTGCTCTACAATTGTTTCTTGAAACCTCCATTCACAACACAATTTTTTACCCCTTTTTCTCTTGGCTGAATTGTATTTTTTGGTTTAGCAATAATCCTTTCAGTTCCATCCACATATCATTTTCCCTTTAGTGATCATTTTATTAATTCTCATAACTTTTCCTCTCGATTGTGTATTGATATTGTTCGGAGAAAATTGATGTTGATCACTCTTGGGACCTGAAAGGTTGAATAACACAGCTTGCTTTTTATGGTGCAGGTTCCGAAATTGCTGGTGAGGTGATTGAAACTGGAGATAAAGTAAAAATGCTTTCGAAGGTAATTGCTTTTTGACTTCTTATGAAAAGATCTGCAGACGGACGGACAGACAAACTCTTAGTTGCTAGACCTTAAAAAAAGAGATAAAGTAAGAGGTTGGCAGAATGGAGATAGGAAAGAAATACTCTTTACCCCTCACCCCCACCCATCAGCTTGCATATTCTCCACGCACCTATTCTCTATACATTTCCCTTGGCAATGATGAGGAGAGCTTGTTTAGCAAACATACTTGGTGATCATTCTTTTTTTTACTGGACTTCTATTCCCACAACTGTTTGTTAGATTTAGCAGTGATGTTCTAAGGGGAAATAAAAGTGATGGGGATGCTCGTCGGAAACTTAAAGGGAGACCAATGTGGGTGTGGCTCAAGCTTTAATTGACCCCTAAAGAGGACCATGCTAAAACAGACATCTAAATAAGAGTTAGCGATCTAAATAATATGGCAATGATGTTGTGATCTTTTTTAAAAGTTAGATTTCTGTGAAGTCAGTGTCATGGCATTTTGTGTAAATTTCTTTATGCACAGCCCTTATAAGCGATACCTGAATGGGCAAATTTAATGACTTTCCATCCCAAAGACCCTAAGTGAGACCAAAATCTGCAATTTACACCGCTCAGTGAGACAACGAGCATCCCTGTCACTTTTATATGGGAGTCCCCACCCCGGGGTAAATAAGTTACTGTCCTTTCTTAGAGGTTAAAGGGTTGAATGTACCCCTTCTCCTTGAGCTTGAAATTGCTTCTGCTAGATCCTCGTACTCCTCCTCTGCTCCTTATCCCTTCAGTCATGTAGGTATCATAATGCTGTTACATAGTTTTGGGAGAATTCTCATGATTTTTCTTCTTTAAGTACTAGAAAAAAATACTGGTATTTGATGAATTTCAACATTGTGGAACTGTATTACCATAACCATTCCGTCTATTAAAATGATTTTTCTTTTACTTGTCCTTTTTCTATCTTACTACTATGTATGATTATATATAATTATTTATTGAATATATATCTTTTTTTTAGGGTGACAGAGTGCTTGGAGTAACATTACTTGGTGGGTTTGCTGAGGAGTGTGTTGTGGAGCAAAGTGTAAGAAATCTTCCTTTATGACTTTTGTAACAGTTCATAACACTACTGTAGTGCATGTTATAAATTAGCTTGATTCTCAAATGCTCCAGGTCACTCACAGCCATGTACTGTCTCCCAGGCTAGTAACAATTAAGTTTTATTGTTTTTGCAAGTTGTTAATCAGGTGTAGCCAGGAGGATTCATTAAATTGTATATTCCAAATGTTTATATGGGGAGGCTCCGCCCTAAGGTCCAACCCTACCCATTTATATACCATTTTTCACGAAAAAGGTACCCCTTTTGTGTACCTTCTATTGACAAATGGTACCCCTGTCCCACACCTTGTTTAGAACTTTGCATCCCTTTTAACTGCTGTAAATGCACTGTCTTTGAAATAGGAATCAATCACAAAAATAGAACATTTTCTTGACTTTAAAAAGCCATAAAATTCATCTGTTAGCCCTATTGGGCCCTGTCATGGACTCAAATGACAGGTTTCCCTAGCGTCTTATGTACTTCAACCAGTGAAATTCCTACCCTTTCATATACCTGAAGCCTGAAAAAGGTACCCCTTTCTGGCACAGACTCCCCATATAGGCCATTATAGGGACTCTTAGACCATGTTATGGAGAGGCACTTAGTCATTCTATGGATGCAGTCCAATATGGTGTTACCATTCAAATAAAACCTCTGTGGCAAAACTTTTACCTGGTACAGTTGAACCTCCACTAACAGCGACTTCTCCTCAACAACCACCTCTCTGCAACATCCACTTTTTTGTCCTGGGAGACAGCCCATACATTGGCTATTTTTATCAAACATCTCTACAACAGTGACGGTAACTAAAAAGTGTGTCCCCAACTGCCAAAACAACTTCTCGACAATAGCCATTTTTTTTCAGTGACTGACTAAACAGTCAAGAGTGGTCATAAAAATTTGATATGCATGGCACATCAATGTTTTATCCCAGCAACTCTTTCACTGTAAATACAGTATTTTTTTATTAGTAAGAAAATTCTTTGGAACATTCTTAGATTACCATGATTACATTATTTAAGTTTTCAGGGTGCAAAGAAAGTCAGTTTTACAGTTTGCCATTCGGGCAAGCAGTACCTAGCATGTACTAGCCTGAAAAAAAATTTATGAGCAGGGTTGATTGCAGTTCTTCTGCAATTTGAATTCCCCCCAAAAAACCACTTGCGGATCGGGCAAGTTAAGAACAGGGCTCACTAGCTTGATAGCAAAATCCACTGGCCCCAGGTTATTGGCCACCACTTTCTTTGCACGCTGGTTTTGTGTATTTTATCTATATATATTTATTTATGGTTGGCTACAGTAAGCGTGAACTTGGAACAATAAACATGTTGTACTTCCCCCCCTCCCCTCCTAAATCAGGTGTCATATTACACCCCTTCCTCTCCGTAACGGCCACTTTCTTCTCTCCCCCAAGGTGGCCATTGTGGAGAGGTTCAACTGTACTATTTATTTCTTAGGATTTTACAAAGAAACATTCAGAATTTTTTTGTGAAGTTTTATATGTCCGTTAGTAGGAGTGAAAAAGTTAACTTAAGGTGAGTGTTTACAATTTGATGGTTTACAGGGACTTTGGAGGATTCCATCCAGAGTGGGATTTCAACAAGCTGCGGCTCTTGCTGTGTCATATGGGACAGCTTATGTTGGACTTACAAATAAGGCCAACACACAGCCTGGGTAAGTATATAATACTACCTTGAATACATGTGAGTTTTATATCAACAAAATAACATCCATGGATGCAGTGTAAATAATAGCAGTACTCATTCTACTTGTGAATCCCTGGTATTCCATGTGTGTGGTTTTCCACCCCACTCCAACTGCTGTACCCCTACTTCTCCTGCTATGCCCCTATGTGTGTATTAAGCCTGCCCACCCCTCTCCCCCTGCTACATCCCCATGTATTTAGCTCACCTACCCTGCTCCCCTGCCATGTCCTTGTCTGTTTAACCCACCCACCTCACTCCTCCTGCTACCTATACATGTCCTTATGTGTTTAACCAACCCACCCCCCCCCTCCTCCGACAGGAAGATCACACGTCTCCTCTCCATTCACATCACCCCCCCCCACCCCCTCCCCCCCTTAACCAAACAATTTCCTTTGTCCTTACCCCCCCCACCCCCCCCCCCCCCTCCTTCCCTGCTTAACTCACACACCCCCCCCCCTCCCCTCCCTCCTCCTCACCAGCTCCTTATCCCTTTCACCCACCCCCCCCACCCCTCCTGCTACCTATGCATGTCCTTATGTGTTTAACCTACACACACCACCCCTCTAACTACATAATGTACGTCCTTATGTATTTAACCACCCACCCCACCCCTCCTGCTACATGTAAATGTCCTTATGTGTTTAACCCACCCACCCCGCTCCTCCTGCTACATATACATGTCCTTATGTGTTCAACCTACACACCCCACCCCTCCTATTACATAATGTATGTCCTTAATATGTATTTAACCCACCTGGCCCTCTTATGCTGCTATGTCCTTTTATGGTCTAATTCATAGCCAGACTGTGTTGGTGACAGCTGCTGCTGGTGCTCTTGGTTTGGCCACAGTTGATATTGCAGCAAATATACTACAGGCAAAGGTGTGTAGTTTCTAAATGAAATGTCTCATTAGGTAATGATTTCAGCAACAATATTATTCATGAAGACAAAAGATGTAGGATTAGTATGAACATTTGATTGTTCAGTTTAGGTAAAAGACAAGTTTTAGTGTTGGAATCTCGGGGAATCTCGTTGGCCGGGTTAAAATCCCAGTGTTGACACCATATGTGGGTTGAGTTTTTTGTTAGTTTTCTCCCTTGCTCCAAAAGGTTTTTCTCTGGGTACCGGGGTTTTCCCCTCTTCTCCAAAGGCAACATTTCCAAAGTCCAATTCAACCAGGAAGGGTAGATGAAGAACCACTATGTGGATGTGCAACCTTTAAATCGTATTTATTTGTATATTTTGTTTTCAATCTGTGCCTTCCTTAGTTGTGAATCAGTGGTTGTACGCTTACTCAAGAAGCAGTGGTGGATCTGCAGTGGAGGGGTCTGGGGTCTGGGCTTCCACCTTATTTATAGGCCAATCTGAGGCCCACACAGCCACAGAAAATTATTTTTGAGTTTGGCCCCCTTCTTCTCTCATGGTCCTGAAGAGTCAGCCTCACACTTACTTGATGGTCAACACTCAAAGAAGGGCTTTTTGAATAACTTAAAAAATCGTTGAGAGTTGAAAAATGTAACCAAAATAATGAAAGTGGCATTAAAACCAAACTTTATTTTTATTCCTTCAGAGGAGGTCATCCTAGGATTGATAACGACAAATTGGTGTAGCTTTTGTTAAATCCCATCACTGTGTGATGATGTTTTTGTTTTTGCCTTTTCCCTGTATAATTTTTCTAAAGGTTATTGGAGCGGCAAGTAAGGAGAAGCTTGATGTTGTAAAATCGATGGGGGCTTCAGCTGTGATTGACTACAATACTGAGAGCATAAAAGACAAGGTAAAGGTGTTTTTACAGTGAAAAGTTGTATAGCAAACAGTTTGCCAAACATACGAAAATTAGCATAAAATGCATCTGTTGCATGTGAGCTCTTGAGACTGAAATACTGAGCTATTTTTGCAACAGGGAGTTGACTTTTAACAGGGTAATAATTATGTATAAATTATTAGTTATTAGTTTTTCTAATATCACACTCCGTTAACCTTTGTCCTTCACATCGTCCCTGTGTATGGACCAGGTAAATCTGGTTAATGTCTTTATTTATTTATTTGACTTTAAAATTCATTAATATTATTGTATGTCAGATTACCATTAAGGATTGTTGCTTGCACTAAATACTCGTCTAGCAGGTTTTTTCAAAATAGTTTTATACACTTTAGGCCTACCCTAAAATGTGTGTTGCAGTTACTTGCAGATGGTCAAGATCTGGCTTTGTTTAGAAATTCCATTGTTTTATAATTAAGAATTTAATTAGTCAATTTATTTATTTCAGTAATGTAGTACGTCACACACAAAAAAAGAAAGAAAGAAAGAAAAACAAATGTATAATGTATAGTGCAAAAAAAGGAATTAATACCTCATCAATCATGTTTTATAATTAAGTAACAAAATATTTCCTCATTTGACTGAATGCCAGGTTAAAGAATTCACTGAAGGAAAAGGAGCTGATGTGATAATGGAAGCTGTCGGAGGAAAGGTCTTTAATGAATGTTTAAAAAGGTAAATCAACTTGCCTTCACTAGCATGATTCAAGAAATAATGAAAACATAATGTTCGAAATAATCTCAAATAACTTTTAGAGCAAACGTCATGTCAAGTTACTTTTAATTAATAACACATCAGCAAGATGATCCACTTCAATTCCATCTAACCCTAAACAGTGATTTGTTACAGTTAAAGACAGGTTTATTTTTTGAAATTTCTGATTGTTAAATTATCTGTTTTTGATCCAGTATCGCATGGGGTGGAGTTATTTTACCAGTCGGTTTTGCCTCAGGGGAGATACCACAGGTATGAAATAGCACACTGAGCTAGCAGAACTTATTAAATGTCAGTTGCCTTACACAGAATTATATAAAACTAAGTCTCCTCCCCCTTAACAGGCACCACTATACGACAAACACCTAGCTAAAAAGAACACCTAGAGTTGATCCCTGTCTTTTTTTGTTGATTTTCTATGAGATACCATCTCTCAGAGGGATGACTCTAGGACAAATACTAGTTAAGATGTTTTTTTCAGTTTTCTACTGAGCCCAGATATCTGAAGAGTACCCTGGCCTAGTGACAAACCCTCCTTAAAGTCCCAAAAGTGATCAACATCACGTCTTTCCCCTGACAATATCCAATCTATGCATAAATCCAGAGAGATGGTAAAAGAAGGAAATAATCAGTAAGGGCCAGGAAAATGCTTCGATTTTTTAAACAAATTCTCTCAGCTAAAGTTTCAAGGAAATGTATGGAGATTGGTCTGGAGAATTTGTATGTAGATGCTGTAGTTAATTTTTTATCTCAGGTAATTTTTGTTCTTCTTATGTTTTTGGCTATGGTAACGTTTGCTAATGAAGTTGAAGCAAAAGAAAAAGAAAAATTACCTGAGATAAAAAATTAGCTACAACATTCAGGCTAAAAGGATTAAATGATAGTTGTGATATGGCAGAAACTTTCACCCCTTTAATATTTATGCATGTGAAAGTGCAATGTAACAAACCAGTTATCAGTTATTCAAAAGCAGTTCAGTAACTGTTTTTTATATCTGTCATTTTGTATTTCCAGATTCCAGCAAATATTCTGTTGGTAAAAAACTGCTCGGCTGGTAAGATTATTTGGTCTTTTTTCTCTCTTTCAGATAGATAGGTTTGATTTTTTTATGCTGACCAAGGTTGTGCGCTAACTTATTTTTTTTTCTTTTTTATCTATTCACAGCTGGCTTATTTTGGGTGAGTTTTACAACAGTACAAATATAATACGTCATTTTTCAGCATTTTCCTAAGTAATATTTATTTAGTAGGAAGTTCTCATAGGAAAAGATTACTGGTACCTGAAGTTTGACAACTTTTTAAAACAATGAAATTTCTACAAAACTTTTAGATGGGAATGTTTTGCAACAACTGTTACAATCACATGGTTTTTATCCTTTTTTCAATACAGTGTTTAATTTCACTAAATGATTTTGACTGTACAAGTTGAAGGATTATTTTACTTTTGTTTATACTGCTGTGAGTGGTTTATAGCCAAACCTTTCTATTCATCCTTTGCAGGAACAATATTTTTGTCAGTAATTCAATATTTCTGAATATTGATTGTCCTTAACTGGCTTTTCAAAAAATGGCTTGTGACTATTGATTTGATTCTGCCAGGGTTCGCACATGAAGCACAATCCAAAGTTATTAAAGGAATCAGTGGATAAATCTCTAGAAATGCTGCAACAGGGCAAACTGAAAGGACCTCACATTTCTGGACAGTTTGAATTAGATCAGGTATCTTGGAATTAATGTTTCTCCTGAATGGGATTGCAAAAAGCCCCAGTCTTTAGATTAATGGAACTCTTAACTATCATTTCAAAATAATAGGTTATTGTTCCAGAACAAAAGTTAAGGGCCCTTGTATCTTAAAAGCATTTTAAGCATCCTGGCCCTGGCACTGATCATTATCTAACAGTTTAGGACCTTGATTCTAGTTTACTTTTTAGTACTGTACAAATAAATGCGACCAATGGACATGCCACTGTCAAATGGCAAAGACACTGGCTGTTCAGGTAGGAATGATTTTTGCCTGAAGGATAGCAAAGTGCTAAGCAGATTACTTATTTGTACAGCCATAACGTGAATTAAACTGCAATCAATATGATGAGTGTCAGCTTGTTCTATTTTAATTATCATATATTTCCGGTATCATACACAAAAATGAGACAAAATTGAACCACAACATGTTTTATTCTTTACGGCAAGAGAAAAAGAGCTTAACAACACTTTGTATTTTACACAGGCAATGTTAACAATAAATTATGATCTCTAGCATGGATACTTCTTGTCAAAAAAGAGTGCAAACAGTTATTATTTTCTTATTTTTTCTCAGGCCAATGAAGCTTTTAAGTTTGTAATGCAGAGGAAGTCAACTGGGAAAGTTGTGATAAATACAAGATAGACATTGCATAAAGTACGCAGTAGTGGTATTTATGGTTGTCTTGATAAGAATGGCTTATGTATATATTGTGGTTCAATTTTATCCTTGGTATAAATTTTATTTTCCTTTGTTTTAGACTCATTATCATACTTTACCAAACCCCAAAACAAAGAGAAAAAAATAAGTTAACCCAAGTATTCCAATAAAATTGAACCACAACATATGTGTCAGGCACATTCAGGCTATGTTCATATTACATCTGTTAAATTTTCAACCATTTTGAAAATTTGTGCATTTCAGTTAGGTAGGTGTTCTGTTTATATGGAACCACCTTCATCGTACAAACACTTAGGCACCAAACTGTTCAAAGTTTTGTGTGAAGAGAGGAAAAAATGGAACGATTCAATGTAAACAAAGTATCTGGTCAAATTTTCAGCGGGTCAAAAAACTGTTCAGTGCCATGTGAACATAACCTTAATGTCAGTCTTCGTTAGAGAATCGAAAGCACTTTCAAAAGTGTGCATAAGTATAGCTATATCTAAGTCAAGTAAGAGGTGAAAGAATAGAACACCAAACATTTGAAATATAATTTTAGTTTTTGTAAGGTTTAATATTGCGGCAAAATAAATTTAATTCGCACCATGATCATTGTAAAATTAACACTTAAATTAGTAACAAGATGAATTTTTTTTTAACCCTTCTGCTTCCAGAGTGAATGATAAAAGCTAGTTTGGTTGCTATTACTTTTGAGTCTGTGGATGAAATCCTGCAGTGTGACCATTCAAATGAAAGGTACTGAGCAGTACTTTCCTGTGGTACTGTTTATTATGCTGTACAAGGTGGTTCTAACTTTTGAGTCTGTGGATAAAATCCGGCAGTGTGGCCATTCAAATCAAACCTCTTTGCCAGAATTTTCACTTGGCATTATTTGTTTCTCACATTAAAGATTTTGTTGAATACTTTGTTCACTTCTGGGAGTAAAAGGGGAAAGGCAACAAGAGGGAACCGGTATCAACTATCCTTGTTAGAGAGGTATCTACCTGACAGATGAATAGTTAAAAGCTAATAAAATGACTAAAGAACAGTAGGGAGCAACTTTATGCATCAGTTTTAGCAAGGTTTGCATCTTGACCTTTTAAGTCCCAATAGTGACCAACGTCAATTTTCTCCTAACAATATCCATAGAATGTCAAGAGATTAGGTTATGAGAAGTAATAAAATGATCACCTAAGGGAAAATGCTTTGATCTTTTATCAAATTCTGTCAACTCATTCATGAAGAAAATGTATGGAGATCAGTTTGGAGAATTTGTATGTGGATATTGGGGTTTAAAGGGTTAAAGGATGAGAGAGTTGGCTGTATTGTTGACTGGTTTGCCGACATTTCATGGAATCTATAACAATATTCTCTTTTTATAAATTTTGATTTGGTTCACGATTTTAGCGTCATGTTTGCTCTGCACTGTCCTCTGGGCAAATCTTTGTCTAGCATTTATTATACAAGTTTTTCTTTAGTCTAGCCACAGAGCGACATGCCAATCTCTCTGTAACAATGTAAAATTAATGAGTGGTTGGTTCATTGCAATCTAAAAATTGCTTTACAATAATAATTATTTAATGAGCTCGTTCTACTCTGCAGTAAGCTGTTATGGGGCCTGCAGGCCCTTAATTCCTGTCAACAATGAAGGGTCTTGTTGATGGACCTTGATAAAGGCCACTGAAAAAGGAGCCTTTTGCTCTATGAGGCTCTGTTAGGGTTAAATTCCAACAAGTGGCATGGCCTTGAAATGGCTACATGAGACAGATGAATTGGTGACAAATGACGTGAAGTTGGTTTAAAACCGCGACAGCGACAAGGAAAATCACAAATACAATAGTAAAATATCGACAGCGACATTGCCTCCTCTTCAGTACACAAACAGACCGCTTTTGAAATTCAGACCAGAGACATACGTAACCCCCTCCCCCCTGAAGATGGCCTCCCATATGGGCTTCTTGATTTAAATAACTAGGTTTGACGTACTATAGATTCAATTTTCTTCAACCAAAAGCAAAAAAATTGTCAGAATAAGAGTATGAACCGTAAACTACATTAATTTTATTGTAAATTGCATTCTAGCCTAAACACAAATAAAAAATTAATTTGCAAATGATTATTTATATAATAATAATTATTATATTATATTATATTCAATGACCTTATGAAATGAGCAACTTGTGAACGTACAAGAGGGTATGGACAAAACTTCTGTAGATCAGAAAAAAAATACACATTTTATGTACATCCACTTTCAAATAAACAGTTATCTGTTCTGATGCCCTTAAATTGAATTAATGAATGTAAAGTTTACATGTAGCCTTCAAAATGGCTTCCCAAAACTTGTAACACTGTTCTGTTGCCTTTGAAATAACCAAAGATGCACTCGTCACTTTTCAACTTTCCCAAAACATGTCCTTTAGTAGGAGCAAAACAGGCTGCTGTGCAACCTTGCTTGAGTTTTTGTCAAATAACTTGAAGCACATGTTAATCAATCCACCTTGCACTCTAGACAGGCATATTCCAAATCTTGTCTTGTACTGAGGTTTAAATGCAAACGGCACCAATCCAATTGACAATAAAACACCATTTAAGGTAAATTCACTACCATGTTGTAAATATGTTATTGAAACTGTGGCTGATAGTCAAATTCCGATCCTTGTGTTGGTTGTGGCGTTGGGTTGAACGGTTTGGGTGGTAGCTGGGAGGGGTCGGGTGGTTGTGGCATCACTGAAAGAAAAACCAAAAACACACTCAAGACATTTTACTCCTAAATGAAAAAGCCATCCCTCAATTCAAGAATTTTTTCACATTTCTTAATTACCAGTAATCTTTAAATAATGAGGGTTGAGGGAAGGTAAAGGAGCCAAAATGATTGTGTCCTAATTTTAAAATGTTTCTTGGTGTCAACTGCAGAAACTATGGTTTGTTAAACATTGTCTTGTAGTGTTGGCCTAAGTTGTTCAAAAGATGGATAAATCTATCCACTGGATAACGTAATTGGTTTCCTTAACACTTGTGCACTAAATAGTGATTTATTCGGTGGGTAGGACAATCCAACTTTCAATCAACTGAAGCCAGGAATTGACAAAATCAAGGATTCGTGTCAAACAAATGTTTCCCGGGCATTATGTCAAATGCTATAAACGACCAAAATGAACTTTGAAAGACTGTTACGCTAACAAGTCTTCCACAACCACAATAAATGCAATCCATTTCAATCTTCTTCACTTTTATCCATCTTTGCCCCCTTTTGCACTTGCTCTGTTAAATATACCTTCTTTTCATATTTTGAGCAGTTGTTTCATGTTTCACTCAGTCTTGGTGGCAGATCCCACAGTTATAATGTTAATAAAATTCTGGGACACTGCAGTTCCTTCAATGAAAGCTCTGACAACACTAACAAAAGATGAAGACGAACCTGGTTTAAACTGTTCTGCAGTCATTCTTGTGATACAGATACCAATTCCTTCAATTAATGCCAGCAAGATAGCTCCAACTGCTGCTGACCTGACAGCCGCTGAAGGTCCCCCTATAAACAATCAGTCAACAAGATATGCAGGTAATTTCTCAGGGGCTGTTTTAAATACATGGATGAGGGAGGAAGATCCTAGCACCAGGAAGATCCTAGAAGGCGGATCATTTTTAAACAACTGGAGCCAGATAAATAACTATCTAGTGAATTGGATAGTATTAGGGAAACCAACCAGGGCATGGAGAGTAGGGTTGCATGCTCCTTATGTCACTTAGATTTAAACAAAGAAGCTTTTTTTCCCTCTTTGTTGGCTATTTTGACTATATTTCCTAGGCTTGATTACCAGCCGCTGTTTGGGAAAATGAGCCCGCACTCATCCAAGACTGGACCCGGGAGACGGTGGAAATCGAGCCTATACATTTCCTACCGGTGTTTTGTATGATCTTGCTCCTGAGCAAGACATGCATTTCTAGAACCCTCTAACTCTGTTAAGTTATGGTTATTACCTCTTGCAGCCAGTACAGCTCCTGTGATTGCACCACTTCCTATTGAGTTCCAAGGATCTTCTTTTCCTCTTATTCCCATCAAACAGCAGTCAAACGTAGAAAATAGCCCTCCCCATACAGCAAAGTTACCTGTAATAAACAACAAGCACTTAGAGTTAGAATGTTTTTTTTAATGTTAGATGGTTAATTATAGGACAATTGCCCATGATTTAGGCTTCTTAAATGAATAGTTACTATATTTATATACTTGCAGGAGTGACAATTATTTTTTATAGTCCATCTGCTTTGAATTAAATGCATGGACATGTTGACTAACCTCCAAGGACAGGAGCTCTTGTCTTAACTGCCGCTATACTGCCAAATAGTCTGGAACCCTACAGACAAAGGTATGATTGATCAGAAACCTGCCAGCTCTTGCAGTTGATGCTCTAAGCAAAAATTAATAATTACTGGATAAGGCTAAGTATGATATGAAGAATTATGGAGATCAAGGAGGGATTTATCCACTGAGGCCAAAGGCGGAGAAGGATGACACACTCCAAGACAAGGTCCACCATTTTGTTTGCTCTACCAAAACAGTGCATCATCGTTTCCAGGGCTCCTTGGTTGCAGTCTCTTTTGCTTGTTATGATTCTGTACTATTAATGTCATTTTCTGGATATTGCACACTTCTTAGTGTCCGAATTTGGTCAACGCTAGCTGGTTATTTAACAATTATTCCTCGAGCCCGAATGGGCTATTGACTCAGAGGCCATGAGGGTGAGAGGAATAATTGTTTCAGCAAAATCCAACTACCGGTAGTTGGCCAAAAATATCAAGACAAAACAACTTTAGCTAGCAAAACACAATTCAGCCGCCACTGTTTTGGGTTTCAAAGCCGGCGCTTTTCGCTACTAGTGGGCTATAACATATAGCCTAGTAGTAGCTCAACCAATCAGAATGCAGCATTGATAATAGACCACTAGTTGGATTTTACTAATAAGAAATAGTGTGGGACTTAAGCCAATTAGGAATGAAGAAATATTTTCAGTGATTAATAATATTAATTAATAAATAGAGCATAAATAAGCAAATGGCCTACAGAATGTACAGCCACTTTGGTCTGCCTTGTCAGGACATTAAGAGGAACAAGGGATGAAGATGTTTTTGTGATTTATAAGGGAATGAAAATCCATCAATGCACAGGATACCCACATCCATTCCCCCAGTTTGTATTATAATATTTTTGAGGGGAACAGTTTATTAGCCAGAATATATCTTAACCTCAATTGGCGATGGAAATGAAGATGTGATGTCTTGATATTCATTATTACGCTAATAACAATAATATTTCAAATTCGCTTTCAACCACCGTGTGCAGTGAGCTTAATTACATAAGCTTATATTACACACTGATGAAAACTGTTTTGAAATTCACGCCAGAAATAAACTAACAGTAGTCTTACTTTTGGCGAATTTCTCCATCCTTTCATGAAGGAAAAGATTCCTCCACCGATCGCTCCCATCGCGAAAGCACCGCCGCAGTCATCGACAATTCTGTAAGGGCTGCAAAAATTCGAAAGGAAAGTTTTTTCACTATAGCTTGCAAAAACCACAAGTATCATAGCAATACACCCTGCGATTAGCAAAAGGAATGTATTTTAAAAGAAGATGGATATTACAGTTTATAAATATTCGCACTGTAGAAAATTACAGTGCATTTTACCATCTAAGATATAAGCTTAAAATATTACCAAGGTTCTCTCGCATACTCCTCCATCTTGCTTCACGCACGTTTTTTTCAGCGGTAGTGACGCAATAGTTGCAAGTATGTTTTATCGCGATATTTGATTGGTTTACACCGAAAACCAATGAAAATAATTGAAAGAAACGTAACAAAGACGGCACAGCATGCTGGG